GTGGTATTTTTTCTTCTGAGGACAAACAATGCATTTTGGTGGTATTTTATACCTCCAAATGATATGTCTTATTGTTGTCGATTTATTTGCAGGATTTTTCACCTGACACAGACAAAACTTTAAATGTAGTAGACGAGAAGGCAAACCAACAACAACAAGCAAAGCCTTTCCAATCAATTTTATTTGCTTGACTAACTAAATGCACACACACACACACCCGGGAGAGCGAGAGTGAGGGAGCACAAAAAAAATTGAACCTTATTGTTTGTTTAAACGAAGTTTTTGTGACAAAAAGTTATTTCTTGAATGCAAGCAAACAAACAGACAAACAATGCGGATAACAACAACATAGTGCACACAAACAAACACATGTTCTTACGCCCTCAATCTGATGCTTGATCTTGGGTAGGAATATCTCAAGATGAATGGAGGACGTGGTATAGGCAAGAGGGAGGGAAAAGGGAGAGAGAGAGGGGAGAAGAAAGGGAAATAACAAGGAATCAACCAAATGATGACAATTTTTTTATTTGTGAAACACAAAGAGAGAATAGGAGGTAGCAGCTAATGAAGAGCAAAACAAAAGACTTAAGACACAAACTCGTTTTTTTTTAGGGGAAAAGGAAACTAAACGATTCATATTTTGGCAATAGAAATTAATTAGCAGTGAATTGAATTTTGTTTGAAATTATTTTCTCCAATACAAAAAACAAAAGACTTAAGACAGCAACGTAAAATAAAGAAAATAATAAAAATTAACTAAATAAATTATTGAAAATTACTATTTTGATATAAGAATGTTAAAAAATGTAATAAATTAATGCATTTTGAAAATGTGATGAAAAACAAAAGACTTAACACAGCAACGTGAAATAAAGAAAATAATAAAAAAATAATTAAATAAATAATTGAGTATTACAACTTTGGTAAAATAATGTTTAAAAATTGAATAATTAATGCATTTTGAAAATGTGATGAAAAACAAAAGACTTAAGAGCGCAAAGTAAGAGTAGAAAAATTATTTAAAAAAATGGAAAAACTAAAAATATTAAATTGATAGAATAAATAAATAAATAAATAATAAAATTAATATATTTAAATATTAATAAAAAAATTAAATTAGAGAGGATCATTCGGCTTTGTCATCAGCTGTAGACCCTCAGCCAATGTCCGTTTATTTGAATACATTTTGACTTGTGTTATGATTATTCAAATTAATAGCCCTTTATGGGGGCGGTTCCAAAGGCGTGGGGCTATATTGTCCCACTTCGTGTCACATCTGGTCTATACCATGTGATATATATATATTTTTTTAATGTTGATATGTGAGAGAGGTACCAGGTATGGTGAACCAAAGTATTCCACTACATTTAATACTGATAAAAATATTGGGATTTACAATTTTATGCGAACAAAATATCAAACAAAATTTTAACCTTTTGTGGGGCAGGTACCAGTAGGAGTGCGGCGATATCTACCATTTTCACAGCATATCTTGTTTTAGTAGAAATATTACGATGCGTGACACTTTGAAGAGAATCGGATGCTTATTTTTCGTTTTATGGACATTTTTGTTATTCAAAATGTTGACCCCTTTGTGAGGGAGGTACCAGAAAGAGTGAGCCGATGTATCTCATCTTCATAGCGGATCATAGCGGGTTTGTAGAAATATTGGGACGTGTGACATATTAAAAGAATCGGAAGCTTACTTCGCATTTTGTGAGAGATATAAATATTCAAAAATTTGACCCCTTTGTGGGGGAGATACCGCAAAGAATGAGCCGATATATCACATTTTCATAGCATGTCAGGTCTTTGTAGAAATATTGGGATGTGTGAAATATTAAAAGAATCCGAAGCTTACTTCGCATTTTGTGAGAGATGTAAATATTCAAAAATTTGACCCCTTTGTGGGGGAGATACCGCAAAGAATGAGTCGATATATCCCATTTTCATAGCATGTCTGGTCTTTGTAGAAATATTGGGAAGTGTGAAATATTAAACGAATCGGAAGCCTACTTCGCATTTTGTGAGAGATATAAATATTCAAAAATTTGACCCCTTTGTGGGGGAGGTACCACAAAGAGCGAGCCGATAAATTTCATCTTCATAGCGGATCTTGCATTTGTAGAAATATTGGGATGTGTGAAATTTTAAAAGAATTGGAAGTTTACTTCGCATTTTGTAAGAGATATAAATATTCAACATTTTGACGCCTTTGTGGGGGAGGTACCAGAGGGAGTGGTCCTATATATTTTATCTTCACACCTAGTCTCATGTTCATAAAAATATTGGGATGTGTGAAGTTTAGAATGAATCATGGGATGCTGCTTTTCGAGTTTTATGAGCCTCGTTGTTATTCCCAAATTTTGACCCGTTATGGGGGAGGTACCAAAAAGGGTTGGTCAATATATATCCCATCTCCCACAGCAAATCTTGTTTCCATTGAAATATTGAGATGTGCGAATAGGACAATAGGACTATTATTTCACAGTTTATACGAGTCATAATTATACAAATCGTGAACCGATTTTGTCCATTTTCTCATCTGACCTACGACTGATAAAAATCTTAGGATTTGCAAAGATTGCACAAACTTGGATGATTGTTCTAAAACGTAAACTATTCTCTGTGCAAAATTTTAGCCTTTTGTGGGAGACCTCTCCCAGAAGAAGTGGACCTATGGTACCCATCTCCGAACTCCATCTAGATTTGAAAATAATATTGCTATGTATCAATTTCGGACCAAATCCCATACTCCCTTCTAGAGAAGCCAGACAAACAGACAAACGGATAGCCTTAGATGGACTCCAAAAATATACTGAAACGGATTTGGTCTAAAGAGACCCAGGGCCTATTGCCAGGAACTGGGGACCTTTAAACTTTAGTGGAGGATTTTCATAGAAATAAGTTAAGGTACCGTAAGTATAAATTGGTTTTCCTTCTTCAAAATAATCTGGAAAAATTGCGTTCTTTTTAATACAAAACAAAAGACTTAAGACACAAACCTATATTTTTTAAATTTCTTAGTATCATGGATATTCTATCCCTCATTGGAGTCAAAAGAAATCTCTTGTCACGAAATTTCCAATGCACATTTCCAAATAATAATTAGAGGACAAAACAAAAGACTTAAGAAACAAACTTTGGCAATCTACCTCTAATTGTATTTTTCTCCAGAAACTGAAAGTGTTAAGAACTTTTGTTGTTCTTGTTGTTGTAGAAAGAAGGAAAACGCCAATAACCTCCTGACTCGTATGTCATTAATTAAAGACTTGATAAACTAACAAGGAAAATTTTCATTTGTACGGTTGTTTGAGTTTTTTTTTTTTTGTTAAGCCACAAAAAACACACATCATCGCCTACAAACCACATTTGAGAATGAAAATGTTGTTACCAGTTTGTTGGCGTATTTTTTTTATTTTTTTGCTTTTTAGTGCTGCTGCCGTTCTTTTTTTTGCTGTTGTTCATTTTTTGCAGTTTCAGGTTGCAAGTAGCAAACAGAAATAGAATATTTAAAACCGGCCAACGTAGCAGGTGTTATACATCGTTAACAACTGCAAGCACTTCCGCGCATATTTCAACGGCTCACAGCTACGGAGGCAGACAGTCAGCCTGCCAAATAAACCAATATATGTTGTATGTAGAACATACACACTTGTGGAAGTATGGCCAAACATGCTTTGGCCACATTTTGCATTTTTTTCATGTGGCGTATTTTTTTTGCCTTCTTAATAAGCCACCAGCCAGCCAGTGCAATAAAACAAAAATAATGGAAAAAACAAAAATTCTCAAAATAAAACATTTTTTTTTTTTGCGGAAAGGGGGTTTAATGAGTAGAAGCTAAGGAAAAAGCTAATTTTAGTGGGTTGCTAAGAATGGAAATTTGAGCCAAAGAATCAGGGGAGCTACAGTGTTTTGGAGAGGTGGAAATTTAAGTCAAGAAAAAAATTTAAAACTTTTTTTTTTTTTTTTTGGATTCCTAAAGAAATGTTTTTCTCCTGCCAATATCTTCCTTAATGCAAAACCATTTCCATAATGCTCACATATATGCCCATGCCGTAATTAACCTGTAATTAAGGTAAACCCTCTTGATAATTATGTAGCCGCCACCGAGGATGATGATGATGATGACAAACTACTCCACAGACAAGTTGCAATTAAAAGCATTTTTTCCCTCTTCTGCTGCTGCTTTCAAAAAACTACTCCAGTTTTAAGACACTTGCTTGGCAATCGTTTTTGTTGTGTTCGCACAATCTCCATGGAAAACAAAAGGGTTAAGGCATGTAACGGAATGCAAAACAACAATGCCACAAAAATGTTGCACATTCACCATTGTCACTGCGTAGAGCAGGCTGGCTGACTTGGCAGGCAAGCAGTAGATGGATGATGGTTCACACGCCAAAAAAACGCACACACACCAAACGCCAACAACGTGTAGTCACTTGCCAAACAATGGTTTTGGTTTTTTTGTTTGCTGAGAGAGGAGAGCAGAGACAGATTTTGTGCCACAGTACATGCTCAAGTGGCTTAAGACCCACACTTGGTAGGCTAAGTATCTGATTTTTATGGGGGAGTTTTTCCTATCCCCTAGGGGTGGGGGGTGTGGAGGGGGTTGTAGGCAAATAAAAAATATACGTGTGAGAAGAAGTAAAGCATTTTCCCCAACTCTAAAATTGTTTTCGTAGAGGAAACCATGCCATGAATGGCTGAGAATGACTGGAGACATGTCAAGTACAGTGAACCCTACAATAATTTAACCAAAACAAAAGCAATCCAAAAAAAAATTTGAGCAACATGGAAATCAAAGCAAAAAAAAAATAGAAATTCTTAAAAATAAACTTAAAATTATTATGAAATTTTAGAAAAATAAAAATTAAAAAAACAAAAATTGAAAATAAAATTAAAAATTTGTGTTTTTTTTTTTTCGTTTTTTTGTTACAATTAGTTTAATCCACCCACACCATTACAAAATTGCGTGCGTGTGTGTGTGTCTTGCTTACCAGCACTTGTCCTAGGTTTTGTCCGGGCCGGCTTAATGTCACCGCTTCCAGCGCTGGACCCCACCCCACCGCCGCCACCACTCTGCCCCACATTGCCCAGTAATGAGCCAGCCATACCATGACTGCTGCCACCAACACCACTACCGCCACCCATACCGCTGCCAGCCGATGAGCCCACTCCGCCCGCACCCATACCGCCACCATGATGATGATGCATATGACCATGACTGTGATGATGATGGCGGGCCGCGGCGGCCGCTGCCATTGAGGTGGTCTGGAACATGCCAGCCGCAGCAGCGGCCGCCACCTGTTGCTGGGCATGATGATGGGCGGCATACGAGGCATATGTGCCATCGTATCCATTGGCTGCGGAGTTGACATTGGAGCCATTGCTCAGACCCATAGAGCCACCACCATAGGATGACTGGGCCGTTCCATCGAAAAGACTACCGGCCGCATTGCCAAGGCCATTGAGCAGAGCATTACTGCTGCTACCACTCGAGCTCGAGTGGGCGGAATGATGGGCGGTTGGTGTGGTGTTATTGCTGTTGGCAGAATTATTGACATTGCTGTTGTTGTTGTTGTTCTGATTGCTGCTGGTGTGATGGGAAGAGGCCGATGACCTTGACACCGACGATGCCGCCACTGATGACGCCGCAGATGAGGAGGCCGAGGAATTATGCGTTTGATTATTGTGTTGTGTGGCATTGTTATTTGTTGTACTATTATTATTATTGTTGTTGTTGTTGTTGCTGTTATTGTTTGTGCTAGTACCTTCACGTTGCTTGGGTGCCGACGACTGACCGCCAGCTCCACTGGCTCCATTGTGCAACGACGAACTGCTGCCATTCTGTATGGTGGGTTTGATGTCCAAAGCACAGCTTGTGTCGGGCAGGGAACTGCTGCCCGTTGCCTGGGCCTGGTGCATGAAGGCATTTACCACAGCCTATAAGGGATAAAAAAATAGAGGAGAAAATAGTTTAGAAATTGTTACAAAAAAAATTTTAATTTAAGACAAAAAGTCTTTAAGAAAACTTAAAACAATAAAAAAAAGCTGTGAAGTTTTCGAATAGCATACTTTTTTTTGGAAATTCCACAGAAATCGTCAACAAAAAAATTACACAAATTTTTTTAATCGGAATTTCGTGAAATAAAAATCTTTCTATAAATACTTCAGAGGAGAATTGGAGAAAATCGATTAGAAATTGTTACATTTTTTTTTATTTTCGAAAAAAATCTCCTCGAGAAAACTAAAAAAAAATTAAAAGAAAAAAAAACGTTATTTTTTGAAGTTCCACAGATATCTTCCACAAAAAAATTGCCCAAATTTTTTTAATCGGAATTTCGTGAAATAAAAATCTTTCTATAAATCCTTCAGAGTCTAAATTATAAAGTTGCTATTTTCCCTTGTTTAATTATTTATTTATACATTTACCTGATATTCGGATGGACCGGTTTGTACTGAATCGGGCGTTGAATCCTTTGGCGGTGTGGGAGGAAATGGAAACGAATGCTGGCCAGTCGTTGTCGTCTGATGCGTCTGCCCCACCTGACTCAGTTTGTGATCGACCTGTGGCTCTTGGGGACAGGCGAAGGGGCTGCCCCATGGACTGGCGGGTGCAAATGATTTATGTTCGCTGGTGAGCCATGAGCTAAGAGGCGTATGAAAGTGAGGCCGACACATTTGCGGTGATGTGTGTGAGGAGGGCATACGGGATGCTGGAAATAAATGCGAGAAGAGAAGAAGAAAAAAACAAAAATATTGATAAATATAAATGTATGAAAAATCATAATAAAAGATACAACAACAAGAACAATAAGATATTAATAGGTGCGAGATATGCCAGCATTAAATCAATTACCATATATACTACCAAGGTTTTGTTTTTTTTTTTTCTTTGCCAGATCAACATCAAACAGATGTTGGAACATAAGTTGCAACAAAGCGTTTACAACAAAGAAAATGGTTGTGTGTTTGCATTTTGAGACCAGAAGCGATAACGATTTATAATAAATGATCTTTTCATAAAACGGCAAAACACCAACACCGCCGTCGCCACCACCACCGACACCAGCCAGCAAGCAAGCGGAGGGCCTGTCTTGCTGGTGTTGGACATTGGGAGAGCCAGCAAATGGAAGCTTTGTTTTTATGGAGTAGAACAAAGAGCAGGCCAGGCCAGGCTAGTGTTTTAATTTATGGCTCTCCAGCCAAATGCGGCCGGGAATATAAGGCAAGGAACCAAGTCTGGCTGGACAGCCTGCCTGCCTGCCTGCCATAATCATAACTTGGCCTGACCGAGGAAGCTTTTTTCTTGTTGTTATTTTCATTTCTGGCAGTTGCACTGCCGCGCACTTAGCTATTACATAAGTTTTGCCTTAGTTTATGCTGTCGTCATAAATTGTTTAATTTGTATCATAAACCATTGCGTTAAACCTTATACCCTTAAGTCAGAACAGATCGATCATCCGATCGAACGGCAGTCAATCGCATGTGGAAGAGATAGAGAGCGAGAGCGATTGGCATCAAACACCAAAGATCGCTGCATGGATTGATCTGCCACAATGCTTATTTGCCTACCAAGCCGAACCACATTTGTCCTTGCCACATGATTTTTGCCATGTGGCGTTTTGGCTGGCATCACCTTCGTCAGCCTCAGCCTCAAAGTGTAAGCTAATGTTTTTGAAAACTATAATTTGGCGGACACCAAGTGAGATTTATGTGCATTTAAATTTTTGCCGCAACTTTTTGTTTTTCCTCTTCCAGTGCTCTTTGTTGGCCATAGCTGTAAGCTATTGTAAAACTGATGGAGGATCAATAATAACGGCAGCGGCTGCCACTGCAGCTGCTTTACTGTGTGGATTATCCATAATCTGCCACAATTTCTTGGGGTGCAGTTATCTGTTGTTTTATTATTTTTATTTTGTTTTACAATCGTTATTAATATAATTGTGTTATTGTTGTTGTTTTTTTTACTTTGTAGCTGTTGTCATAATTCACATGGTACCCCAAACAAAAAATAATTAAAATTATTATCAAAATTTTTTTTCAAAAAAAAAAAAAAAAAAAAAAACAATATTGTCCATGGCCCAAAAATTGGCCTTAGGTGCTCTAGAAAAAAATTAAAGGCAATTGAAATGGATTTTTCAAAAAAAAAAAAAAAAAAAACAGAAAAAATACCAAAAAAATAAAAGAAGTCGAACTCCTCATACATGTAAAGTGTTGCAAGATGGATTACCATAGATTATGACACAGCGGCGGCATGCAACACTGTAACACCAAAACAGAAATCAACACAACAAAGCCTCACAGTGGCGGCCTAGCTTTGTGGGCAATACATCATCATCGCCACCATCACCATGTGGCATCATCGCTCACTCATTCACTCACTCTCGGCATACACATGTATGATGCATCCACCACCAAACCAAGTAACAAGTTCGATCTTCACCATAGATAATTCCCATTTGATTACGCTAATAACAGTGCTTTGGACAATATTATGTGTACGTGTTGCTGATTACAGATATTAGGCTTTACTGTTTTCAACATTACACAGAGGCGAAGCCGCGCTCAAGGAGAACCAAGGCACACCATAGCAAAGGAGGGAAGCCACTACTACTGCTCCTGCTGCTGCTGCTGTCAATGGTTGGTAGTAGTTAGTAGCTTAGGGTGATGATCATAATAACAAAAAAGCAACAACAACATCGCTGGGATATTATAAACATTATGATCATCATCTTCCGTCCGTCAAGATCATCCCGACCAGCAAATTGTTATTGATAAGTTTTTTTCTTGATGCCCTGGTTCTTTTTTTAACTTCTTTGAAACTAACTGTAATTTGTTGTTATTGTAACAATCATTGATCACTGTAATCCATTTCATCACTCGATCCGCCATGAAATTGTTTTCCATAGCCTCGAAGTGGCAGAAACACAGGAAACAGTAGTGCGAATATTTCATGGCTTGGCAATGAGAGAGAGAGAGAGAGCTACTTGTAGTCCGATTATTTTCCATCCTGGAGAAATGAAAGAAAAACGCAAGTAAAACGAAGTCATGGAGAATTCAGAGCTCAAAGAGATGGTAGAGAAAATTTCCACATTTTTGGAATATAGGGAAAAACTTAATTATGCCATGAAAGAGATTTTTGAGAGCTAAATTCTATGGGAATTTAGAAAATTGTTTAAAAGAGAGGGAGAGAAATTTGGAAATTGGGAGAAATACTCTCGAGAAACAAAGGGAGATAAATGAGGAAAGAGGGAAAGAAAGCGAGATTTCCTGAAGCTTATTATAAAAACACTAGTAATATCTTAATGTGAGAGTAAGACGGTGAAAGAGAGGGAAAGAGGAAATGGCGTATTTCATGTCTCAAAGTGCCATTAGAGAGAAAGGCAAAAGTGAAAAGATAAAGAAGCGATAGGATGACTTCCTCATTTTAGTAGCTGTAAAAATCTCAGAGAGAGAGAGAGAGAGAAATAACTCTCTCACAAATATTTTAGAGATTTTTTTTAACCACGATAAACCAAATTCTCGCAATATCACTCTCTCAGTGAGTGTATTATTCAAACATACTCTGCCTTTTTAAAAATGTTCTCTCTAATCTCTGAATAAAGACATTTTTAGAGTAAGAAACGATTATAGAGATTTGACCAGAAAAATTGCGAGTAGAAATTTAAAAAATGTAGGCACTCGTCCTCTCCTGTACGTTGTTGAAAGAGGGAGAAAGAGAGAGAGAGCCAAAATGTGAGAAACAGACTTATTAAACAACTGAAAGAAAATATCATCGTTGCCTAAATTGAAAACAGGCATGGGAATATGTGAGTACAAATTGTCATTTATTTGAAAAAAAAAAAAAATAAGAACATTTTAGTCAACCCGAGAGAGAGAGAGAGACAGAGAGAGCAAAAGCGATATGATTGAAAACAGAGAGAAAATATAATTTCATCGAAAATGAGAGTAGAAATGGGAAATGCAGCAATTAAAATTTGACAGACAATTAACCTTAAGAGAGAGTCAAACAGTGAGAAAAAGATTGATTATACAACTGAAAGAAAATATCATTGTTGCTATTTTAAGCCTTAATTGAAAACAACATAGGAATATGTCAATCACAATTTTTTTGATTTATTTGAATAAAGCAAAGAAAATCCTAGACAAGCCGAGAGTGAGAGCAAAGGCGATATGATTGAAAACAGAGAGAAAATGTCATTTTAATCGAAAATGAGACCAGAAATGGGAGATGTATCAATTACTAATACCTTGAGAGATAGAGGGAGAAAGGGGGGGAGAGAGAGAGAAAAAGAGATAGTCGTTGAAAAATCTGACTTGGAAGACTAAACGGCTTAGTAAACCATTTAAATCCTGTCCGAAAAAAGAGAATGAGAGGCAGAGAGTTTTAATTCAAGAGCAAATTCTTCTTTCTCTATGAATCAAGTAAATCTCTTCAGAACTTTAAAAATTCTCCTCAAAAAAATAACTCTTCTCAGAATGCTTGAAATTTCAGCTATGTCGCTGCCTGTACAACTTCTCCTTTCCCAACAACCTCCCTCAACCACTAACCCCTCGTACATGATGAATATTTGTCAAAAATTCCATTTTATTATGCATTTTATGGATAACATTGCATGTTAAGGTGGCTTAAAAAACAATAAACGAAGTCCGTTATATTAATTTTTAAAACAAAAAACCTCTCACTCAAATACCCTCCAAGAGCTATGACAAGGCAGAAGTAGTGGCACACATCTGTATTTAGGTTCCAACATCATACGTCATTCATTCATCCATCCATCCATTCGTTTGCTCGGTCAGTCATTTATGGAGCAGGTGTCGGCATTTTTTTTTACTTTTACATTTAAGTGTTTGTCAAAGGGGGGATTAAAGTTGCTGCTGCTGCCGGCCAATATTGTGGTTGGCGGGATATGAAATGTAAAACGGGCACGTGGCTAAACCAACATTGACGAGAGACAGGAGTACATTGCATTTTACACTTGCAGCTTGCTAGAGGAAAAAAATGGGATCCTTAAGGATCACTTGCTCACCTACATTGCAACGCTCACACATCAGCGCAGGTGTAATTTTCTTTCCTTTACATTCCCTACACCTTGGCCTGGCTTGGCGCTTGTCATGGCCAAGACGGGGGAATAAATGATGAGTTACGCATTGTGTGCACCTTACCTTTTGGACGGGATGGGAATAAACCATGGTTTGTATCTAATGAGACACTGCATGCAGTCAGAGACAGAAAAAGACGAAGAAGAGAAAAAGGTGATATTTTTTCTTCCAAAGGATATTCATTTTGGATGTATTGATCGTTTGATTGATGGATGGATGACTAAATTCTTTTGGGAGCCCAAGCGGATACAGCTGAATTTGTTTGTCATTTATTTTGTTTTGTTTTTTGGTTAATGGAAATTCTAGGCCTCCGGCGAAATATTTGTGGGCCCAATTTTGTTTGTCGGACTATTTAATCCTTTTTCTTCCAATTTCTAAATAGCAAAGATTTTTCTCTTCAGATTATGGTGTTTGACTGACTATTTCAATGGCTGGCTGAGAATTTAATTTTGTGAAAAGCCTTTTCCACAAAAAAAGAGTGCAAAACCGAAATGTGTCAACACCCCTAAAGGGGTGGCGGGCGGCTGGTGGTCCATTAGACACTGAATGTGATTTCAATTAAGCAAATTGTTTACTCTTGTGAGACGGGGTGGTTGGTGTTTTTCGAAAA